TTTGCAGATGTTTCAAGTATTGCTTCAGCCATCTGGGGAAGATTCAGTTGTCATAGAAAGAGTAAGGCATAAGAATTACATATAGAGAACAATATTAAAAAATGGCATGCTTAACATATGAAGAATTTACAAAGACTTGCTTGGAGTTCTTCAGGAAGTCTCAGGATCTTGGAGACAACTGGGAATGTAGAGGTAGTACTCAAGAAGAGGGTGCATTCTATCTCCGTAAGACAGTGTGTTCTAAAAGTGGATATAGAAATGAAGGCACACAGTTATTAGAGACGTCGTTGCACTTGGATCAGTTGGATGTGGGGTGTCGGACTGAAGAGAACCTAACACAGTGCAATGATAAACTGGAGCCTTATGACCCTTCAGCTTTAAATGACTTGAGTGCCAAGAATTTTATCACTTTTGAATACCATGTTGTGTATAGTTTAAGTCATTCTGTTCCTACATTATATTTTAATGCATGGAACTCAGCAGGAAAATTATTAACTTTAGAAGAAGTGTGGGGGTTGGTTCATTCTCACTTTAGTGAACAAATTTTGAATAATAAATGGGAATCTTTAACACAAAAAGAACATCCTTTGCTTGGTCGACCATTTTTCCAATTACATCCTTGTCATACTGCAAAACTTATGAGTCAGGTGAAGTCTGAACATCAGTGTAATTCTAGACTGTCAAGCAGGTATATTGTGAGTTGGTTGAGTATGTTTGGACCTGTTGTTGGACTAGAACTCCCATTAAATTATTTTCTTGACTAGATTGCAGATTTGTAATGGTAATATGGTAAATTAGTATATTAAAGAAGTAATTTTTTATGCTGTATTGTTAGCCAAACCACAATGTAATTTTGTTTATCATGTGAGTCTAATATCATTTTAGGGCTTTTAAGTACATGAACCTATTGAGGGAGCTTGAAGATTTGGTTCAATAGTTATAATTCTGCTTTAGCAGCAATTATCAGGTGTTAAAATTTAAGTAGCAAGGGAATTCATTCTAAATTAGTCATTATGTTCTCGTGTAGATTTTTATTACCTAACAAAATTAGAATGCAAAACTAGAATATAGAAAGTACAATTGGTACAGTATTTCTCAAAAGAACAGTACCTGTATTGTACTGTATTGTATCATGTGAAAGGTACCATGGTTATTTATATTTTACAATTTTGGAACTTTTTAAGTGGTCAAAACAGTTGGTTCACACCTGAAAAGTTTCTGGTTCTATTCCCGTGCAAGATGGAAACATTTGGGCAAGTTTCCTTTACCTGACACTTCTGTTCTAGCAGAAAATAGGTACCCAGGAATGAAGTAACTTGTGGGTTGCATCCTGGGATAGGTTAATTGTTAGCCAACGGAGACCATAGTAAGCCTAACAGGCTTCCTGTCTCTGACAATATGAAACTACTGTATATCAGCCCTGGTTCAAGCCCTGGGCAGGTAGGAGTGACTGAGCACAGATCCTTAACTATTTATCCTGTTAACCCAGCAGTAATTTTGTACCTATATTGTAAGGTTGGTGGATCTTGTTCTAAAGGAAGACATAAGATAAGCTGTGGGAAGAGAGCTCTAAGCCTTCCTATGTATAGAAAAAACTATGTTGCTTCATTTTTATATCAAGGAAATAATTTTGTCATAACTTTTGGCTATAATTCTGTTATTCTCAACAGTCACTTGTACTGTTACTATAATGTCATAAGAGTATAAGAAGTAAAGAACACTGCAGTAGGTCTATTCGTGACAAAGTATAGTTTTGGTTCAGCTGATTTTGTAACTTTAAATTTCATGTATTAACCAGGAATAACTAGGTTATTGCTTCTAACACAAACATATATTTCATCAATACTGTATAAAGAAAGCATAATCACTGATGTAAATTGATCTTTATTTTTATTAACAAAATAATACACAAATTGAAAACGATCTTCTTTCATTTAGATCGTTGTCTAAAACTTCTTTTACATACAATAATTGCTATTCATAAATAATACACTACTGTTACAAGTTTACATTATTATTCAATACCTTCCAACATACAATGAAGAACGAGTACTCATTGATGTGAGTTTATAAGAGTAGCGCTGTCACTGCAGTAGCATGAGTAGGATGCACCCACATACACACACCTTGTATAGCTTCTAAATCACTAAGCCATCCTAAATGCTTTATTTAGAACATAACCAATATTATAAATACTCATCCATTTTTGGAAGCCGTCATTTATTTGTCTTTAGGCTATAATCTAAAACACGTTTCTGCATAAAAAGAAAGGTCATACTGTGTTATTGATGGTACTGTTCCACTCATGCCCCATATACTGAAAGGCATTTAGACTAATTATATTATACAGTGTTGTATTGTCAGCAATATAGATTGTGAATGTGACACACACACATTCACGTATATGTAATTGTTAGTATCACTGCCTCTTTGTTTCATTGTGCTCCTGTTTATCTGGAGTTTACCAACATAAGTATGTACATATATTTGTGATTTGTAATAAAGTATTCCTTTTAGATTGATCTTTTACAGACTTCCAATAGTACAGAACATGTCATGTAAGTTTTTAATTAAATCTTTGATAAAAGACCTAATATTTATGGTATAATATTGGGGTTTGAAATCTAAGTATATATACACGGTATTATTATTAATGTACAGTATATAGCAGAAGGTAACGTGTTACCATTTATCTAGTTTAAAATAATTAGGTATTGTAATTATTTTTAGACATTTATAGTAGAGATTTATAGTGTTAGTTTTTAGTTAGTTCATTTATTGTACATCCCATACCCCATCCTGTGGGTGACAGTGATAAAAGGTCACAGAGGTACATAATGGGCTCAGGAACTTAACCCTAAAATTCATTTAGCTAAGTAAGTTAGTCTTGATCAGCTAGTTACTGTTTGATGAATATATCAACAATGGGTTCAAGAATGACCACAAGTACAATCTTTAAGCAAAGCCACTTTCATTTGCATTGAGCTTGTTTCATAGTTTGATTTGCTTATGCACACTACCCATCATCCAGTGCACAGGGTGAAAAGGTTATAATCACCTGCAGTTACTATGTATAATTAGCAAACTGGGAATATTTGGCTAAAATTTTTGGTAGACCCTTTTTCATGAAATATATATAAATTTTTGTTAGGTATGCAAATTGCCATGTATTTTAAATTTACTTAGCACACTACAATGTTTTGGAAGCACAGAGCTGACATTTCAGTTATCATGGTAGTAGAAATATACACTGTACATGTATACTATACATGTAGTCAGTTTTGAGAGTTCTACTCTCCAAGCCTGGCCATAAACCAGGGTTACTGATGAGAACTTAATTGGTAAGGCTGTTGCTGGCAGCAATAGACACACGGGACTAATAGGGTAGTTAGGATATGCATAGGATATATTATATTATACACATGGTTCATAAAAAATAGTCATACTTTACTTCATTAAGAGCCAAGAAAACATACAAATTATGAAGATGAAGGTAAAGATCCAAAATATGTGTGTATTAAATACCAAATTTTTGGATGTAACCTACACACTTTCTCAAGGTGCTGTATACATTGTTCTGAACAGGATTCTAGGAGTTAGCGTTTATAAACACAATCACCTGCAAATATTTGTTTTTTAATATACTTGCACATATTTTGGGTCTTCACCTTCAGTCAAGCACAATGGTATTATAGTAAGTTTCTCCATACAAGTCACTGTAATGAATAGAAGAGTTTCTGCACAGACAGCAGCATCTCTTCTTTTGATGTCAGTAACACAGTGCAGTACACAGATGTATACAGATACAGTACTCATGATATTTTTTTTTTAGTTTTGCAGCTACAGCATATTCTTGGTATGTTATATGAACATTATATGCCCTATACAAAATTAGGATAATTCCATCTTTTAGGGTTTGGTATACAGTATGTGATTTTGTAATTTTCTAATATGAAGGATGGATATATTAATTTAAGTATTTATCACATTTTAAATTTATAATATTTAAAGCTTACATTTGAATAAAGAGATACTAATCAAGATGAGAATTTTGTAGAGTTCTATTCAATACTGTATTTACAAAATATTAAGGTGCTAACATTACACTGGATAACCAGATGGATAGGTACATTTATATTATAGTTCACGTGAACTTGCTTTTGTAGTACAAGTGAGTAGCTTTTTTATATAAATTGTGTGTTAATATTTTGAAAGAAACAGTAACCACTATGAGTATACAAACCTTATATCTGAATCACAATCCCCATAATGCTATGGAAGAAAAATCAATACTGATTACTGATTACCTCAGCTGGATAGTACTTTTGAAGTTGATGTATCACACTTGACTGCTGTTGCATTTTCAGGAGTCACTCGGTTAGGTACTGTTCTTAAACTAGGCAGAAGTACACTTTCCTGCTCACCAGCAGGAGCCTCTGGTTCTATTCGGTCTTGACCATTAACCATTGCAGTGGATGGCAAGTGCTCAAAGGGTTGTTGGATACCAGCATCACACTGAGGGTGCCCAATAGGATGAGCATACTGAGATTCTAAAGTGGGTGTGTGATTTTGATTTCTCTGCTGTTCTAGAAGAGCATTTACCACTTTCTGGTATACGTGTGACGATGGGGAAGATAAACAGGCATCATATGAAGGAGGGAGGTCTGGAAGTGTAGGCCTTGTTTCAGGCACAGAATGAGAAATATTAGGCAATGTATTATCATCACAAGTTAAATTATCTGCTGCATAGGGTGGTGGAGGACCACTGCTGACAGCTTCTGTATAAGCAGGTGGTTTGTCTTGTCTAATAGGAATCTGATAAATGCGGCGGGATTCAGGATCACCCACATAAATCATGTTATTAATAGGTACTATGACCATGTGAGTGCCTCTAATAATCTGTGTCCCATGTGGTTGTGTTACAACTGCTCCATCTTCAGCTGCAGCAGAAGAGTCTTCTTGACGAGCACAGGAGAAAGTTCCCCAACAGCAGTATACCAGAATAAAGAGCAAAACAATGATCATGACTACCAACGCAAACAGTGCTTGTGTTGTTGATGGGTAGTTCATGGCCCCTGTGGAAATGAATTTCCATTAATTTAAATCTGTATTTAAAAGAACAAAGCACTGTATTGTATATTCATATTTTGTATAAGTATATTAATGGAATATTTAAGCTTATATAGCCATCCTGGCTTAGTGCTTTCTTTTAATAATTACTTTTATTTAAGCTGCTGTTTTGCCAACCATTTTGAGCATTTTAAACTCAAAACCGAATTATAGACATAAGTATACATTAAATTGTACATATTTTTACATAACAAATAGAATAATTATAATTGAATTATAATAAAATGTTATAATTATAATAGAATCATTAAAAAATCTCCAAGACAAAATAGGGAAAAATATGCATATTGTTTGAGACCTGAAATTTTATATTTTATTTTATTTTATTATATACAAGAGTTTTTAAATTCATGTAAACCACTAGCACGCATAGCATTTCGAGCAAGTCCTTAATCCAAATTTTCCCTGGAATACCATCTGAAAAATCGTTTAACAACCAGGTACCCATTCACTGCTGGGTGAACATAGGAATACAGTTATGGATTAGCGCCTAATCAATCCTTCCCGGCCGGGATGCGAACCCAGGCCAAATTGCTCGCGAAGTACTGGGCGAGTGTTATACCACTGTGCCACAGGGACTATATAAAATAAAGTATGGTAATGACACATCAGGAACCTGCCATTTGCAGAGATGTCTACATGGAAGAAATTAATGTTTGCACTCACCTAGTTGTGCTTGCGGGGGTTGAGCTCTGACTCTTTGGTGCAGCCTATCAACTGTCAATCAACTGGTGTACAGATTCCTGAGCCTACTAGGCTCTTATCAAATCTACATTTGGAACTGTGTGTGGAGTCTATCTCCACCACATCACTACTTAATGCATTCCAATTGTTAACAACTCTGACACTGAAAAATTATTTCTAAATGTGTCTGTGGCTCATCTGGGTACTACGTTTCCACCTGTGTCCCCTTGTTCGTGTTCCACCCGTGCTAAAGAGTTTGTCTTTGTCCACCCTGTCAATTTCCCCTGAGAATTTTGTTGGTGGTTATCATGTCTCGCCTTACTCTTGTCTCTGTCTCCCTTACTTGCGTGTTTGTGAGTGTGCACAGGGTGGTTAATTAGTTTGCACATGGTTAGTGTGTACATGAGTTAGTTTGTTTGCATGTGGGAATTAGTGAGTGTGCAAGTGGTGTCACTGCCTTCTCTGGAAAATTGTGATGCTTAATGTTAATTATAAAAATATCAGATTGTGCAGATCTTTCTTAGGGAAAATTTGACAATCATTTGGATAATGAACCTCTTATATAAGCTAAAGATTGTTGATGTCTTTTCACTTTTGCGTGGATAGGAGCGTGTTAGATTTATTCAGGTCTTATTAGGTTGACTACTGACCTTCCCCATGCAACCCACAAGATTTAACCAACTCCTGGGTACCTATTTATTGCTAGAACGGAGCCATTAGGCGAAAGGAAGTGTGCCCCCAATTTGTGTATCTTGCCATGGGAATCGAATCCTGGACCTTTTGGTTGTGAATTGATTGCACTACAAGACTCCTATATGTTGGGTACAAACCTATGGCATGCCTCACTATTTAGATACATGCCCTGTATCTTTTGTACCTGTATCCTGTACTTTTTTCGATACAGGCTCTTAGTACACTGCCCTTTGGATACAGGTTAAACAAATAATTACTACTTTACAATTCTGGTTTATGTTAGTCTACCTTAGCCTGAATACAAATGGAGTAATGCCCATATGCCTATATACAACATGCAATAGGCTCTTTATTCAGACAATTTCTGAAATACTCTGGAAGATCAATGGGCTCTATCCGATAGTTTACTTGCAAAAGGTACACACCACATACGCTGCCACATACACGGTTACAAGTACAGTATCTCTGGGAATTTTCATTATCTGCTGATGTAGACCTGACCAAGTGTAAACTCAACAAAATTATTCGCACACCCTCCGTCACTATGTGATGGAGTGCGAAGATACGTGAATTCAGAGACAATTCTATAACCAATGTTCCAGCAATGTGTAAATATTTAATTCAAAATGATCTGCTACCAGAAATTTTAGCCAAATATCCCCAGTTTGCTAACTGTAGGTAGTAACTAAGTGACTAACATATCCATCGCTGCCCACTGGATGGGGGGCGGTGTGCAGGACAAACACATCAAATGTGACACTAGCTCTACATATGTCAGTTGCTTAGTTTAGAAACTGTACTTGTGGTGATCTCGAACTCATTTATGTTGTGACGACTTATACTGAATTTTGTAACTAGCTCATCAAGATTGTAACTTAGCTAAATGAATTATGGGGTTCATTCCCTGAGCCCATTATGTGCCTCTGTAACCCTTTCCACTACCGCCCACAAGATGGGTATGGGTGCATAATAAATGAACTAACCTAATTGTTGAATAAATGTCACGGAGAAGACTGTATAAGCCATCCCATTTGGCACACAGTTGAAGATGACTTGATCATCAAATAAAATTTCAACTTCAGATATACAATGTTAACATTAGCAATAAAAATGAGGAAAGTTATGTGGCCTATACATAGACAAGAGACTGAACCTCACCCACATACAACACACAGACAAAAAAGTATGAAAAATGGTTGGTATACTTCCTAAAATCGGATATTATGTTCTCAACTCTGCTCTCCTCTCATATAGTATTACTTGCTAATCTATCCCTTATCTTGCATGTGGTAATGGTGCTACATAGCCTTCCCGGTTTGGTGCCTTCTTTGATAATTACTTACATATGGTATCTGTGCATGGGGTTCAACCACTGCAAATTACCTCGAGACTAAAATCACTCGACATAGATCTGCTATCAGAACTATAACGAACTCTGTTTTCAGACATCACACAGCCCTCTGTTTAAGTCCCTTAACGTGTTAAACATACACTCCACACATTCTCGTGTGCTATCAACATGTACAAAACTTTGTTCCTAAATGCTAATCTTGATCTGAATCTTTTCCTTGATAGGTGTAATAGAACCCATGATAACCACACCAGAAATAAATATCTCTTTGATATTCCAGAGTCAAACTAAATCTGTGCAAAGACTCTATGCAAATAAAATGGCCCAGTCTTTGGAATTCAATCCCTGGTGAATTAAAAAATTGTCCAACCCATGCCTTATTCAAAAGTAAAACCAAAGAGTACCTAATTTCATCCTCATAGTTTCCTACATTGTACTTCAAACTCCCACTGTATCTTATACTACCCACTTCCCCAATATTAGTACTTAAGACATAGCTTTACCAGTGTCACCTCTGTCAATTTATATTGTAGTTATTTCTTGATATAAAATCTTGCTACAGTGTACCTTTTCATCTTACCTGATAAGTTAGATTAAGGACCTGCCCGAAATGCTATGCGTGTTAGTGACTTTGCAAGACTAAAAATATCACTAATGTAATCTTACTAACCCATTGTACCTTCTTGTAAATAAAATACTGTATTATTATTATTATTCTTTTAGGATATACCAACAGAGCAAGAGTACCAGTTAAACACATCATAACTTAAAATGGAAATCATTTTGAGGCAAAGGAGTGACTTGAACCAGCATTCTAGTGATTCCCAGACACTTGCCTTAACCGACTCTGCCATGATGGGCTGAAACCCTAGCAAGGAAATTACAGGCACATGGAATAAATGGTATAATACTCGAATTAATAAAACAATGGTTAAAACAAAGAAAACAAAGGAACGTGCTAAATGGGAAGGAATCTGGAGAAATGTGGTAAGTGGAGCAGATGAGACTAAGATTTAAGGTAAAGTGGAAAGTGAAAATGATATTGAGGCCTTAAAAAGAGATCTACATGAACTCCACAAATGGTGAGAAGGCTAGCAAATGCTATTTAATATCGAGCTAAATAATCTCCCCGGCTTGGTGCCTTGTTTTGATACAGTAATTACTTTTTAATATCGATAAATGCAAGACCTTGCATGTGGGGAATAACAGTCCACATCACAGCTACCAAATTAATAGCATTACCTTGCAGCAGATTGATGAAGAAACGAACCTTGGAGTCAGAAAAAATGAACTAAATTAAATTAGGAGTCAGAATCCATCATTCACTAACAGTTGCACAAGTGGGAGCGGGAGTAAAAAAGCTAACTAAACCCTAGAAATAATCAAGCATAACTTCGACTAAGGAAAAGAATTAATAGTTAAACTGTATAAATCTTTGGTTCGCCCACACCTGGATTATTGCATCCAGGCATGGAGAACTCATCTTCAGAAAGACGGCTTCATTGGAGAAAGCTCAACACCGGCAACAAAAATAATTCCAGAAGTAAGTCAACTCGCACACCAGGACAGGTTGAGGACCATAGAGTTAACAACACTACAAAGCAGACATGGTAGGGCTGATTTCTTCGCTGCTGCACTAAAGAGAGGAGACAACGTCCCAGTAAAAGTACACAAACGTTTAAAGTCGAAGAAGAGAGTAATTAGAAATATTCTCAACGTGCAAAACAATCGGGAAGAGCATTGACATTAACAGAATCCAAAGCCCCAGGTGTGGATATAACTGAATCAACATCGTAAAGGAGCTGGCAGGTAAACTGTGTCTACCACCGAAACTCATTCAAATAATCTACCGTAAGCCGTAAATGCCAAAACGCTGTTGAACTTTAAAATCTAACTTGAAAAACATCATCAGTACAAGTGATTTTTGTACTCCCAAGGTATAGGACCTCTGAGAAGCCGCCGGCTTTCTGTCCTCGTCAAGGCCACTGGCGTGTTAGTTGCCCTCTGGTAAATTATTCTGAATTTCTGCCTTGCCTTTCCAGGAATATTTCTGGACCCGTCCTTATCACCCTTAAGTGCCAGGTAAAGTACAGTTGCACCCATAATTGTTGAATATAGTATGGAAGCTTCCATGTTTGTTGGATATAATACAACTGTTTTCACTAAGTGTAGTACACTGACCCCATGTTAACTGGGTATAGGACCATGCACCCATGTTAACTGGGTATAGGACCATGCCCCCATGTTAACTGGGTATAGGACCATGCCCGCATGTTAACTGGGTATATGACCATGCCCCCATGTTAACTGGGTATAGGACCATGCCCACATGTTAACTGGGTATATGACCATGCCCCCATGTTAACTGGGTATATGACCATGCCCCCATGTTAACTGGGTATAGGACCATGCCCCTCATGTTAACTGGGTATAGTGTAGATACCTCAATATTTGCTGGGCATGGTATTGCTGACCCCAAGACTCCTGCATATAGTATGGTATATGGCTTCCATAGTACTTCAGCCGGACCTGAGAAACTCCATGAACCAAGTTATCGTGACTGGTCGATTGCTATACATTGCACCTAAAATTTGCCCTTCCGATACTTACCCATCCCAATATTTAGAACCTGGCCTCCTCCACTTATAACAGGGACCGATCTGTAATGGAATACGCAGAAAATCACCGATGGAATTCACCACCATCTTTATACTAAATTTTCCATCACTATCTTATGATCAATATACAGTATACACGTTTCAAAATGTATATTTTGTATGGCATGTGCAAGACTATTCGAAGGAAAGCCTCATCTTTTTATGCAGCATGGTTAATTTTTCTCTATTTTGTGGTAAAAGGACTTTTTGTAATTTAATATAGTGTTATGCAATGAATATCGTCAGTGTAATCTGCTGCCAAAGACAGCCTTCGTAAGGAAGCAGCCCATTCACGCATCATTCTCATATATGACAAAAAAATAAATTTATAACCAATGACAGGTATCGCAAAATCGCATTCTGAATACGTCTAATGATGTGATATGTCATTAATGAGTTGAAGAGCGAACTGATCACAAAACATTACATGACAACTGCTCTGCTACTGACAACACAGCCCCTCTATTTAAGTCCCTTAACATGCTAGACATACACGCACTCCACACATCCTCATGTGCTATCAACATGTACCTAAACATGTACCTATCAACCTTGTTCCTAAATGCTAATCTTGATCTGAAACTTTTCCTTGATAGGTGTAATAGAACCCCATGAGCACCACACCAGAAATAAATATATCTTTGATATCCCCAGAGTCAGATTAAATCTGTGCAAACACTCCATGCAAATAAAAGGACCCAGTTTATGGAACTCAATCCCTAATTAATTACAAAAAATCCAACCTTTGCCTTATTTAAAGGTAAAGCTAAACAGTACCTAATTTCATCATCATCTCACACTGTATCTTGTACTACCCACTTCTCCAATATTAGTACTTAAGACACTTCTTTACCAGCGTAATCACCTCTGTCAATTTATATTTAATTATATGTTGACATAAAATTTTGCTACAATGTACCTTTTCATCTTACCTGTTATGTTAGATTAAAGACCTGTCCGAAACACTATGCGTGCTAGCGGCTTTGCAAGAATGTAAAAATACTACACAAAGCCTAGGAAAGTTTAGGATTTTTTCGTATCTCTACACGATAATAGTATATAACGTAACCTTTGTTGTCAGCAAAAGTCCATTTTGTACGTTCGACCCAGTATATAGTTATGAGTACTATCATTCTGAAGGATGGGTCGAAGGGTTACCAGCAAGTTTACAATATAAATAGGTATTACTAAGAATAAGGATTGTAACTAGGTTCTTAAGATATAATCTGTTGAGTACAAAAATTGTGTGGGTGACTACTGGTTGTCAAACACTAACTCAAGATGGCAACTATAGATGATATGTAATGCATTGGCAGACATTGCTTAGGGTTTTGTAATCAGAAAAGAGAAGAATGAGGGGGGGGGATCTTTCTCCCTTTTTCTGCTTCCAGTAGCACTATGCAATTGTCTGAGCTCATCATTTTCTATATATTTTACTTCTTTCGTTCCATCCCGTGTGACGACATCCCTCTCCTCAGTACTAGGACTCACTGATTCTGCAACAAATCCTCAAAAAATTGAAGTACAGTCCCCATAGTCAGTATATGGGTGAATTGTACAAAATATGGACTAGTGTTCCAGGAAATATTCATGTTTTGCATAATTGGGATTCTAAAGGACGATTAATTTAATTATCCTGAAACAGACTAAAATACACCTAACCTAACTTGTCCTAGATATAATCCTAGGTCTAAAATACAGAAGCTTTGGACTAATTTTGAATTTATGTACTACACAATAAGCCTTTCTGATAAATGTAAATGATAAAACAGATGAAGTAGGATCTTGCATGTTGATATTTGCCAGTGATGAGATGAATCATCAGAAGAGGAATGCAGACTTAATTATATGAACCTAGACAAACTAGAGAGATGGTCTGATAAATGGCTGCTCGACTTTAATACAAGCAAATACACAGCGATAAGATTTGGAACGGGAATGATGTGGTTACAGGAAGATTATACGATGATGGGATGTCTAATGTTTTAGTTATGACCAAATCTGAGTATATCTACATTCCAAAGCCTATTGATTGATGCATATTAACAGAATCAACGTCGCATCAACCCATCCTCCTACATAGAACGTCGCTTTTCGCTCGTATGCGTTACATAAGACCAAAAATTGTCGTACTAGAAAATGGATGCGGCTCGGGAAAGTGACGCACTGTCCCGTTTTCAGTTTTGGGTCCTCTGGCAGGTTAGGAGAGGACACTTTAAATTGACCGTTTTCTTGACGTTGGGAAACCTTAAGATTACGGGCTGCGTATGCACCACTGGAAGACAATGGTGCATGGCCTTAAAGCACCTGGACATGGAAGCTCGACCTATGTTAGACCGGCGCTAAAAATTTGTAGCATCAGGGTGAAATCTCCACTGGAAAAAATAAAATCACAGGAAGTTCAAAATTGGGTTTCAAGATTGGATCCTGAACTAAGCGGACTGAAATGTAAGTAATGGCTGAGGCCTTGGTAGGCCTAACAACGCTGGTAAAGAAGGGAGAGAGGTGACATGATTGCGATATATATATATATATATATATATATATATATATATATATATATATATATATATACCTAGTAGCCAGAACTCACTTCTCAGCCTACTATTCAAGGCCCGATTTGCCTAATAAGCCAAGTTTTCCTGAATTATATATTTACTATAATTTTTTTCTTATGAAATGATAAAGCAACACTTTTCTCTATGTATGAGGTCAATTTTTTTTTATTGGAGTTAAAATTAACGTAGATATATGACCGAATCTAACCAGCCCTACCTAACCTAACCTAACCTATATTTATAGGTAAGGTTAGGTTAGGTATATTAGGTACGACATATATATATATATATATATATATATATATATATATATATATATATGTCGTACCTAGTAGCCAGAACTCACTTATCAGCCTACTATGCAAGGCCCGATTTGCCTAATAAGCAAAGTTTTCATGAATTAATTGTTTTTCAACTACCTAACCTACCTAACCTAACATAACCTAACTTTTTCGGCTACCTAACCTAACCTAACCTATAGAGATAGGTTAGGTTAGGTTAGGTAGGGTTGGTTAGGTTCGGTCATATATCTACGTTAATTTTAACTCCAATAAAATAAAAATTGACCTCATACATAATGAAATGGGTAGCTTTATCATTTCATAAGAAAAAAATTAGAGAAAATATATTAATTCAGGAAAACTTGGCTTATTGGGCAAATCGAGCCTTGCATAGTAGGCTGATAAGTGCGTTCTGGCTACTAGGTACGACATATATATATATATATATATATATATAGACATATATATATATATATATATATATATATATATATATATATATATATATATATATATATATATATTCTAAATATAATATATATATGTATGTCGTACCTAGTAGCCAGAACGCACTTCTCAGCCTACTATGCAAGGCCCGATTTGCCTAATAAGCCAAGATTTCATGAATTAATTTTTTTCGACTACCTAACCTACCTAACCTAACCTAACCTAACTTTTTCGGCTACCTAACCTAACCTAACCTATAAAGATTGGTTAGGTTAGGTTAGGTAGGGTTGGTTAGGTTCGGTCATATATCTACGCTAATTTTTACTCCAATTAAAAAAAATTGACCTCATACATAATGAAATGGGTAGCTTTATCATTTCATAAGAAAATAATTAGAGAAAATATATTAATTCAGGAAAACTTGGCTTATTAGGCAAATCGGGCCTTGCATAGTAGGCTGAGAAGTGCGTTCTGGCTACTAGGTACGACATATATATATATATATATATATATATATATATATATATATATATATATATATATATATATATATATATATATATATATATATATATATATATATATATATATAATATAATGATATCCTCAAAAGAGGCATCGTCATAGTAGACAAAACCGAAATATTTTGCATCAACACGAGCAGGAAACAGAAACTCAGGTATATCATAGGGATGTAAGAAAGAACTTCTTCGGTACAAGAAGAAGTATAACTGAAGGGGAAAGCACCAAGCCATTATGACTATATATTACTGGGAAGATATCAGGATAAGGATTTGGGACGGGACGGGGGGGGGGGGGAGAGGGAAGGAATGGAACCCTACCACTTGGACAATTGGGGATTGATCGTCGACTTGCAGGAAGCGAGACCAACGCTCTACCGTCCAGCCCAAGTGGTTGGGCAGGAAATGACTGAGAAAAACCTTGTTGAGACTAACTCCATATATAGTTTCAGAAGCTATGATTAGAGAAGTTTGGAACCATTGCAATCCTCGATCATCGACTACTGAAAGGCGTGGCCCAGGAGCCGAAGCTCATCCTACAAGCACATACAGGTGATTACATATATACGAGTACACACACACACACACACACCAATACTATCAAGCCGCTCCGTATATTACAACAATTTAAATGAAAAAATGTTTTCTCTAATAATATTAATTAAAATTTGACAACGAAATTGCCAGAAATAAATTAACCACGTGAGTATATAGATCTGATAATCCTTGAGAACCATAAGAAACTTTATTTACCACAGCTTACAGAATTGTACAAATTTCTGAGAGGTTTTATTTAAGATAACTATACGGGGAACAAGTCTTAGAAGTATTTTTGTATGATCATTTTGCAACTCAAACAGCAGTGTGTGGTAAATTCAACAATACTGAAGCTAAAGTGGAAAATTAAATACGCAAATTTATCAATAATTTACCTACAATATTTTGAATAGCATTAGCCTACTAAATAAATGTGTCAACTATGATATGATAGTAAATGCAGTTAATATATTTAAGATGATATTAGCTATAAATTATTGATGTTATTTTTTACTACTACTATATAACACACTAGTGCTAGCAGACAAACGTACCAAATACAAAACAAAAAAGTTGTGGACGCTAAAATTAATACTTACAGGGGTGCCGGTTCATAAATAAAACTCTTTGCCTTGGTAACTATGGATGTGTAGTTTACCAGGCCCCAAGGTGCCAGGTGGGTCTCACCTGCAATATGTGTGGTGGTAACTAGGGTGTTCTCCACTACGTCCATCACAAGGTACTAGGCGTCACTTGCGGATGCCTACACACACACACACCTCGTATACAAGCAATATGTACCGTAGTACACTTTGCGCTTGGCTATCCTAGGGTTATATCTCTCTTGCTGTTGAGGACTCTTGAGTTCGTTTAGCCTTGGTTATCCTTGCTGCTTTTCACTATGGACTTGACCGGCTTAGGTTATCATTGCTATTGTTAACGATGAGTGCTTGGTTAGCCTAGGTTATCCCTGCTGCAATTGAGGACTGTGAGCAGGTTTAGCCTTGGTTGTTCCGGGCAGCTTTTGGCTGTGGACTAGGCTAGCCTAGGTTATCATTTATCTTGTTGAGAAATGTGGGCTCGATTAGCTTAAGTTATTCCTGTTTTTTCTCATTTTTGTCTTACTATTGGCATACCATTGTTGATGTTACTTGGATATCGAGGAGGCAGATGTTTGTTCATGCAATTTCTGAAAATAAAAGGGATGGCAAGGTAGTTAATGATCTTTACCATGACAAGTTATATTGTGTTGTTCTACACTCATTACTTTCCTCATTATCTACCCTTCCATCATATGATATTCTCCCATCGCATAGCATCCTCCCATCACATACTGTTGAGTCCTACCCATCACATACAATCCTCCCATCACATAGTATCCTCCCATCACATAATATCCTACAATCATACTGTATCCTCCCATCACATAATATCCTACAATCATACTGTATCCTCCCATCACATAATATCCTACAATCATACTGTATCCTCCCATCACATAGTATCCTCCCATCACATAGTATCCTCCCATCACATAGTATCCTCCCATCACATAGTATCCTCCCATCACATAGTATCCTCCCATCATACAGTATCCTCTCATCATAGAATATCCTCCCATCACACAGTTACTTCCCCATCACATAGTATCCTCCCATCACACCGTATCCTCCCATCACATAGTATCCTCCCATCACACAGTATCCTCCCATCACATAGTATCCTCCCATCACTTGGTATAATCCCATCACATAGTATCCTCCCATCACATAGTATCCTCCCATCACATAGTATCCTCCCATCACATAGTATCCTCCCATCATACAGTATCCTCTCATCATAGAATATCCTCCCATCACACAGTTACTTCCCCATCACATAGTATCCTCCCATCACACCGTATCCTCCCATCACATAGTATCCTCCCATCACACAGTATCCTCCCATCACATAGTATCCTCCCATCACTTGGTATAATCCCATCACATAGTATCCTCCCATCACATAGTATCCTCCCATCACATAGTATCCTTCCATCACATAGTGTCCTCCCATCACATAGTATCCTTCCATCACATAGTGTCCTCCCATCACATAGTATCCTCCCATCACATAGTATCCTTCCATCACATAGTGTCCTCCCATCACTTAGTATCCTCCCATCACATAGTTACTTCCCATCACATAGTATCCACCAATCACTGTCCCGTTTTCTGTTTTGGGTCCTCTGGCTTAGTCTGGTAGGTTAGGAGAGGACACTTTAAATTAAGCGTTTTCTTGACGTGAAAGTTAGAAGGACGGGCTCATCCCATAGTCTTGTGCAGTCCCTGCAACATCTGAAGTGGATACGGTCTGCACCACCACTGTCACCATAACTGTCACCACCACCACCATACACCTGCACCACCACCATACACCTGCACCACACCACACCTGCACCACCACCATACACCTGCACCACACCACACCTGCACCACACCATACACCTGCACCACCACCATACACCTGCACCACACCACACCTGCACCACACCATACACCTACACCACCACCATACACCTACACCACACCAGACCTGCACCACCACCATCGTGCCTGGCACTACGGGTCACCCGGGGCCACACACACACATTCCAGCACAAACTATTTATATTTACAAAAATATTTCCCATGCACTATTCTTCTCCCGCGCCGTGTGAGCTGTGTTACGGTATACAACACTACGTCCACGCCACCGAGGACCTCAAGCCCCAGCCAGCGTTCATTCTCCGGCAGTAGTGTGGGGGAGAGGTGTATAGTGTCACTGTTGTCAGTAGTAACTGGTGGAGTCGGTGGTGTTGGAGGTGGTTGGCACTGGCCAAGTGCTATACTAGATGTCGCCTCACCGAAACCTCCGCAAATCAGTTAAACAAACCCGTTTGTCCTCTGTTCTTTTTTTACTATTTTACTCCTTTATTCCTGCAGCGCCCGCGAAGTTCTTTATTATTTTGCATGCGGTGGGACGACGTGAGGCGTCTGGTGGGTGCTGGTAAACTGGTGATGACGAGAAGAGAGGGAAACACCTCTCCGTAAAGGTGTTGTTTTGGGCCGTGGTCTCTGCAGGTTCCCCCTCCCAGTCTGTCAGCATTGTGTACTTGGTCTGGTGCCCGGACTCTCCCACTCCCTCTCCCCTCCTCCCATGCCCTGTTCCTCTCACCCCTGCATAGCTCTCTTCTCTGTCTGTACTGCTTCTCTTTAGTCTCTTCTTTGTGCTGGTTTTCCTATTTTTGTTAAAGATTTATCCTATTTGTTTTTTGCTATTTCGTGTTTTTTTAATATCTTCTTTGTTATTATGTTTTTTAATATGCTAGGTTTTGCTCCCTTACATTGAGATTCCTGCTTTATGTTAATGAGTTGACAATAACCTTGGATTACCTTAAAGCAATCTGAGAACAATAATACACCAAAAACTTTAACGAAGCCTTGTAGATATGAGGCGAAATGAAATATATACTAGTAATTTCATCTATCATCGTACTATCATGCCACACATCTATGGATCATCCAGTAATATCAGCACACTCCAGATGTTATTGATGCTCGGCTTAGGCTCGGCTATATGTTTCTTTAGGAATTTGTATTACCTACTGATCTAGACCTGACCAAATGTAAAACTATGTCTACAAAATTATTCTCACACCCTCCGTCACTATGTGATGGAGTGCGAAAGTATACGTAATTCAGAGACAGCTCTATAACAAATGTTCAAGAAATTTGTAAATTATCACAAAGAATAACATGAAATTATTCACAATTATCTACTGGCAGAAATTCAAATGACCGAAAATGGACGTCATTTGAAAATTAAAAATAATTGAAAAAAATGGATTTATATATTCCAAAACAGTAAGTTAAGGGCCCTCTGTTAGGTTAGGAGGGCAAGACGTTTTCCTAAGGTTTCAAAACGTCATGAAAACCGTTAATTGAAAGCTTTCCTCTCCTAACCTAACCGAGTAAGCCGGAGGACTCAAAACAGAAACGGGACAGTACGTCACTTTCGTGAGCCGATTTCATTTCAAATTACGTCCATTTTTGGCCATACGGGCAAACGAGCGCAAAGCGACGTAATTTTAAGAGGACGGGTTACGGGGCGAGGGAGCTAAACCTGCACCAACAGGGACTGTGGATGTTTTGATTGGTATTTTGTTAGTTTATATCCATAAAATTCGTTTAATATTGTTGCACGCTACAGATTATTTAACACGAAGAAAGGGATATGTTTGGTATAGGTACGTACGTTTTTGCAACCCATCTTAGTGTTACAGGCAAGTCTAAACGCTTGTAACTAATCATAATATATATATATATATATATAACTGAAAACTCACACCCTAGAAGTGACTCGAACCCATACTGCCAGGAGCACTTTGCAACTGGTGTACAGGGCACCTTATCCACTTGACCATCACGACCGGACAAAAGCTGATGGTAGCCGAGGCTATTTACCCATCAGCCCGCCGGCACTCTGATGGTAATCTTGGGCATAGTATTTTATCAAATCACCTCATTCTTTGGGGCACACGTGAGGAACACAAATGCGAACAAATGTTCGCATTTCTGTTCCTCACGTGTGCCCCAAAGAATGAGGTGATATATATATATATATATATATATATATATATATATATATATATATATATATATATATATATATATATATATATATATATATATATATATATATATATTCCCGACAACAAATGTCTATAACCTCACGAAACACACACACGTCACAACTAAATATTTACACACTAAAGATGATCGCAAAGTTTGACTCATCTGGCTCAACGTTATTGGCCGAGGTAAGAGGTGAGTACAGGGAGGGTACGGGGCAGGTTTGGAAGGACCTGACGCTCCATACAAGGGATAGGGAGGACGTGGGGTGACCTGACGCTCTGTACAAGGGATAGGGAGGACGTGGGGTGACCTGACGCTCTATACAAGGGATAGGGAGGACGTGGGGTGACCTGACGCTCTATACAAGGGATAGGGAGGACGTGGGGTGACCTGACGCTCTATACAAGGGATAGGGAGGACGTGGGGTGACCTGACGCTCTATACAAGGGATAGGGAGGACGTGGGGTGACCTGACGCTCTATGCAAGGGATAGGGAGGACGTGGGGTGACCTGACGCTCTATGCAAGGGATAGGGAGGACGTGGGGGTGACTTGATGCTCTAGACAAGGGGGGTAGGGCATAGGGTGACATAACCCTGGCATCAAGGGACAGGGACGGTAAGGGTGACCAAGGCCGGGGAGAGCGCGGGATGGGGCAGAGTTGTGCAGAGCTATATATATGAGATACTTGTGCGTGTGCCAGCACCCTCTCTACCCCACCACCAGCACTATCATCATCAACCCCCAACTGTCTTCACCATTATCACCTTCATCACCGTCTTCACCATTATCGTCACCCATTCCATTACCACTACTAGCATCACCAACATTACTACTATTGCTACTATCACTACCGTCATTATCCATAGCATCAACTACCATCAACACCACTATCTTTTACGTCACTAGTTAGTTACTAGTTGATTTTTTTATAATTATTGTCATAATAGTATTTACTTTGAAATTTGGTAGACAGAACTCCAGTTTTTATAGTTATATATAGCATATGCGCGAGGCTTCTATATTTGTATTGAATACCATTGTGATATTAGCCATTCATTTACAAGATTTTCTAATTGTTGGAGTGACAGTATATTATGGTCGCCAACCTCTTGACAAAATGCGTTCCATAATTTTGTGCATTTCAGGCGATAAGAACGTCGAAATTGTCCTTGTTTACTGAGAATTATACTACTGTATGTAATGTAGTATTGCCTTGTAAACTTATGTATATATGATTTATACTGTATTTTATTAAATAAAGATAAAAAAAAATGCCCTATTCATGCAAAGAAACATCTATCTGATTGTCAAGTTTCGCACCTGTTGTTTGATATTTTATTCTTGAGGGAGGGTCTTGTAGAGAAGCTAAACAGAGGTATGAAGTGTTTGAACTTTGTAGAATATACACAGACTGTCATCAGTTTCCACTTTTATCATAAAATAATGCATAAAATAATACATCTAAAGTTTTCTTTAACTCTGTTAGTGGCTAGAGTTTACTTTATGTTAGAAACAAGCCCGAGCTTAGTGGCAGCAGATGAATTCCTGCCCTTGAATTCATCTTGAATTCAAGGGCAGCCCTTGAATTCCTGAGCAGAACTATACTAGCCTAATCAAAACCTTAATACCTAAGCGAAATTATCTAACCTAGCCAAATTAAACAAAAATAATAATATAGGAACTGAAATTAATATAAAAGTGAACCTAGGTTAATAACCATTATTAATTTAAACAAATCTATTATATAAAACGTATGTTTGAAAACTATATTTATTTCACATGCTAATATTATTGCCTACAGATGAACTGCTAAATAATGTCAGTTGTCTTCATAAAAGGCAACCCAAACTAAATGCAGTGTTGAAATATTGACATTGACAATATTTCAAACATCACCACTTTTTCAGATTCATGGGGCTTCATGTGACACTTGAAATTAACAATGGCACATCTCATTATTTATATATCGAACTGGTGTCAAAATGTTCGTCTCTCTCACTCGCTGTCTGTCTGTCTGTCTGTCTGTCTGTCTGTCTGTCTGTCTGTCTGTCTGTCTGTCTGTCTGTCTGTCTGTGTGTCTGTCTGTCTGTCTGTCTGTCTGTCTGTCTGTCTCTCTCTCTCTCTCTCTCTCTCTCTCTCTCTCTCTCTCTCTCTCTCTCTCTCTCTCTCTCTCTCTCTCTCTCTCTCTCTCTCTCTCTCTCTCTCTCTCTCTCTCTCTCTCTCTCTCTCTCTCTCTCTCTCTCTCTCTCTCTCTCTCTCTCTCTCTCTCTCTCTCTCTCTCTCTCTCTCTCTCTCTCTCTCTCTCTCTCTCTCTCTCTCTCTCTCTCTCTCTCTCTCTCTCTCTCTCTCTCTCTCTCTCTCTCTCTCTCTCTCTCTCCTCTCTCTCTCCTCTCTCTCTCTCTCTCTCTCTCTCTCTCTCCTCCTCTCTCTCTCTCTCTCTCTCTCTCTCTCTCTCTCCTCCTCTCTCTCTCTCTCTCTCTCTCTCTCTCTCTCTTCTCTCTCTCTCTCTCTCTCTCTCTCTCTCTCTCTCTCTCTCTCTCTCTCTCTCTCTCTCTCTCTCTCTCTCTCTCTCTCTCTCTCTCTCTCTCTCTCTCTCTCTCTCTCTCTCTCTCTCTCTCTCTCTCTCTCTCTCTCTCTCTCTCTCTCTCTCTCTCTCTCTCTCTCTCTCTCTCTCTCTCTCTCTCTCTCTCTCTCTCTCTCTCTCTCTCTCTCTCTCTCTCTCTCTCTCTCTCTCTCTCTCTCTCTCTTCTCTTTCTCTCTCTCAATCGAAAAATGCAAAACCTTGCATGTGGGGCATAACAATGCACACCAGAACTACCAAATCAATATTTCCTTACACTAGATTGATGAAGAAAAGGACCTTGGGATCAGAATCCATAAACCACTGAAAGTTTCACAACAAATGGGAGCTACAGCACAAAAAAAAGGCCAACCAAATTCTATGAATAGTTAGACGTAACTTTGATTTAAAAGAAAAAAAGGTAGTTATTCAAGTCTATAAATCTCCATGTGCTTTTTAGCATACATATATGTGATGCAAGATACACTTACATTATTGTATCAATGCATCATGGAGACCTCATCTTCAGAAAGACATATTTGCTGTTGGAGAGACAAACACCGGCCGAAAAAAATCATTTCAGAACTAAGTGGACTCTCATACCAGGAATGGTTGAGGGCCGCTAACAACACTGAAAACCAGACATGACAGGGCTGATCTCATCGAAACTTTTATAATATTGAACAACTTTGATGATATTGACCTAGAACACCTCTTCAGAAGGTCAGATGTAACACGAACAAGGGATAATGGTTTCAAGCCACTTTGTAGGACAGAAAACGGGAGATGCTTTTTCACCTATAGGGTTATAAATCCATGGAATCGCTTACCCGCCTAAGCCGTAAATTCCAAAACCCTGCTACAATTCAAAATGCAAATAGATAAAATCATTAGG